CTCTACTGGTTATGGTCAAAGGTGTCAAGGTCATGAGAGTCCAGGAAAATCTCAGATACCTGACCTGTAGGCCCTGGTTTTATCCCCACTATGGACAGAGGGAGGGAGAAAGAAACTGAGACAGAGACAGTGAGTGCTAAGAAGAAAATGAAACACAAACATGGTTCTGTCCTGGATTCTTTTGCTATGACTGAGACAACTGGTGAGACGTGAGTAGAGTCTGAGAATTACATGATAGAAATGCATCATCCTAATTTCCTAATTTGGATGCTTACAACGTGGTTATGCAGGAAGATGATTTCTATGTTAAAATAAAAGAAAACAAAACAAAGTGCTAAGTATAGAACAGTGGTTCAATAACTGGCAATTTGTTATCACCAAAAACTCTAAAAGGTTTCCCATCACCAACACGTGGCATTATGCTGGCAACTTACTCTCACATTTATTAGTTTTTTGTATTACACTTCTAACTTTTCTAGAAGTCTGATTTCTAAAAAAAACTAGCATCTCAGTAGCTAGGTACAGTGGCACATGCCTGTGAACCAAGCACTTGGAAGTCTGAGGCAGGAAGGTCATTAGGGCAGCATGGGCTACATAGTGAGTTCAAGGCCAGCCTGAACTTCATAGTGAGACCTTGTCTCAAAAGAAAAGAAAACAAAACAAAATTCCCAAAATAAAAATAGACTCCCAGGCTGTGTAGCTCAGTGGTAGAGTGCTTGCTAAGCATGTGTGAGGCCCTGGATTTGATCCCCAGCACCAGCCTATCCCACAGGCAGAATCCCTGAGGGTGGGGCAGAGCAGCAGTATTCTAAAAACTGCCTGTGGGACTCTAATATGCACCTGAGGATAGGAACCACTGTTGAAGTCTTCATTATTAAAGACAAAAGGCTACAAACTCTTTGACTAACAATGAACCACCATTTACTTAATCAAATTCTTCTCTCTTTTGCTCCAATAATTATTTATTGGCAAATATTTCTGTTCCAGGCAAGAAGGAATCTCTTTCAAGTACACGATCTCGTGGAAATATATGTAAGCAAACAGACACTGCACTATAATAATAATGATAACAACAATAATAATAATATAATAAAATTACTCTCATTTGTCAGGCACTACACTGTCTGATGGGGCAGGTACTCCGGGTTGTTTTCATTTTATGAAATAAGGACACCTAGCAGCAGCGACATGAGCAGAAACATGTAGCTATTTTGACTCCTGGCCATGTTACCATAGCAGTGGGAAGCCAAGTGCCATGGAAATCCACACATGGACCCTGGTGCAGACGGAGGGTCATGGATGGTCTCTTAGAGACTGGACCTTGGACTCTATCTTTACACATGCACATGTTTTCCCATTTTAATAACCATAAATTCTCCTTCCATGAACATGCGTGCAGGTGAGTTTCCTGCTGCTATGCTGCTCCTCTGGTTATAAGATAAGAAGCAGACTTCTCAGACAAATTGTGTGGAAAAGCCCAAGGCCATCAAGGCATGCTGCCCCATAGCTGTCACCAGCAATATCAGGATGCCGCTGAATCCTTTGCCATTAGTACACAACTAGGATTTATTTCATCACTACTTAAGCTGAACAGTTTCCCATCAGTGCTTTAACACATAAATTCAACATCCTTACTGTTACAACCAAGAGAGTGTCAGAGAACATTACCAGTGAAATAACACTCTAGGATGCCTCATAAGTGCACTACTTTTATTTATGCTTATAATCACAAAAGTGATTTTGGCACAACTAGCAGCACACAGGCAAATCAGACTTTTATATTCATGCTAAGATTTTTGGCCCCTCAAATTACTGTGAGCTCTATGAGAACAGAGTTCGTCTTGTCTGATTCTGAAATTCTATCATAATGCCTGCCAATAAAACATGCTTTATAACCATATGCTATAAAAATATATAGATGAAGTGCTAGATGATGAGAAGATATAAATTGAAATCATACTTTTGGAGCCCTACGTATATAATGCCAATAAACACAGTTCAGTGGCCATTACATCAGCACAAGATGAAGGAAAAGTAACATGTTCTCTTCTTCGTTGCCCAACATGTAAATAGGTGACAATTCAGTTTGCCTGTAACTAGGCTAAGTTTACATCTCTTGTCCCACATCTTATATGATTAGAGCTGCCTTTTAGAAGGATCCTGCATTGGGCAATACATGGTATAGTCCCTCTACATCTAAAGGATGTTCCCTTAATGAACAGCAGGTCTTACAGAGAAGTACTTCCCTGATCACAGAGCTTACCACGGGGTCACTCTGAATACCTATGAGAAAACTCTGGGCCATAAGTGCTTTTGTGATGCTTTTCCACGTAAAGGCAAGTAACCATTTACAAACACATAGTTAATCCCTAAGAGAATATCTGTGGCTCCCTCAGCATTCTCTATTCCATTTTACTGATTTCTACGACCATACCACCCTGAACACACCTGATCTCGGAAGCTAAACAGGGCTGGGTCTCGTTAGTACTTGGATGGGAGACCATTTTATCGGTAAGGGAAGTGAGGCATGGGAAGAGAAAGCGACCCATCCAAGGTTACATCAAGCATGAGTCAGCCAGATGTGAGGAGCTTGTGGGAGCTCCGACTTTTGTTTTTTGATCACCTCTTTAAACTGCAAAGTCATTAGTTTGAAATGAAGTCAACAGTGCAGTGAAGTTGGAAAGATTTTAATCATTTAGAAAATGCCTTTTAAACTGCAGGCACTAATAATCTATTTCAAATTATGTAAGCAAAACAATGGGCATACTCTGGATAATTTTTTAATGGGTACTAATTTCATGGTTAATAATATTCTAGGTTCACTGAGTGACAGTCATTATTAAAACCTCATGCATTGGTTCCACAGTATCAGGGTAAAAGGGAATATATAAAAAAATAGGTGAATTTAAAATAAGCATTTAATCCGTTTGGTAATTAAAAATAGACTTTTCTACATTTTTATATTATGTAAATATGTCTGTAGCTCAGATTTTTTTTTTTTTTTTTGGTACCAGGGCTCAAACTTGGGATTTTGTGCTTGCGAGGAAGGCAGAGGCACCACTGAGCTAAATCCCCAGCCCTTGTAAGTATATCTAAATTTCATACAATGGTACACTGTTTAGATAAAATTTTGGTACATTAACAGATTATAGCAAGAAAATCTTGATGGTGCTAATTCATTCGCTACAGCAACAAAAACAAAAGCTGATTAAATTAATATTTAATAGTTTATATCCAAGAGTATGTGCAAAGACTCTACCGCTTGTATAAAAGGAGAGGCATCTATGTGCAGAGTTGGAGAGACTCGGTGTTACAGATATATCATCCCACATTTACTTATAAACATGCTGCAATGTCAGTCAAGGTCCTATTTGCATCTTGTGGAGGTGGAATAAAGAACTTAGTAGAACATATATAAATTCATTTGGAGGCATAAATTTAAGAAAATAAACCAAGAAAAGTTTTATAAAGTATAAACTATAATAATGACAATAGCAGTTTTCTAGCACAGGCCAAGGGGATAAGTTGGGAAGTCCAGAGATAGGCTCGGTGTTTAAGTGTAAAAGTAGTCAGTAGGTGATAGACAATAAAGGATGGAAGACATATAACACGCTGTGTAAGAGCCAGCTAGGTCCTTACCTTACACCAATGCCACAGACAGGCAGTGTGAGAAAACAAAGTAAAACTATTTGGGTAAGGCTTTTCTATAAGGACTTCAGAGATAAAATAATTCCTAAAGAGTTCAATAGGTTTGATCATCTAAAACATACATTATCATCAGTAAAATAATATGCATGAAGAGTATCAAGCATTTTTGATTATTCATAGTATAATCAATTGAATTTACCATTTACCTCTTAACTGAGTTTCGTTTAATACACAAAAATTTTTAAACTATAAGAAATGAAAAATATGAATTTTTTCTTTAAGAGTTTTGTGTTTTGGCTGTTTTGCTTTTGGCCCACAAATGACTTTCTTAACCCCAAATCAGAATAACATTCACTTTCTTTTTAGAATTCTTTTATTTCTCCTTATTTTATGGCAATTAAATAGATGAGAGGTTACAATACCTGTCTCTTATTATGTGATTTAGAAAACCTAGTCACTTTTCTGAGTCTCACTTTCCTTTTCCTAAAAAACCAGACACAATAATCCCAGCCTATCAGGATGCTGTGACAATCAAAAGACATAATTTATACAAAGCATTTGTCATGGTAGAGCTTGGTACATAAAAAGTACCTTTAATGCTATCACATTGCTTATTGGACTTCTTAACTTCATTGGGATACTGCCACAACTAGGAACTTATAATAGTGGTAGTGTCACTTTATTTTTTAATTTTTTCATTAGCATATGTTTGCAGTACCTAATGATTACATTCATCATGGGGAATTGGTACATGTATATAACACATCGTATGTCACTTGATTTAAGAACATGTTTTGGACTGGGGATTTAGCTCAGTGGTTCGGTGGCCTGCCTTGCAAGTGCAAGGACCCGAGTTTGATTCCCAGTACCAAAAAAAAAACAAACAAAAAAAGAACATGTTTTACATGATTTAATTAATGCGTTAGTTTCTAACTAAATTATTTTTAAATCAATACATGTCAATGAGAAAAGAATAACTCAACTTTTTGAAGATTACCTAGTTATATACAGTATATTACAATCTGGTCTTTTTTTTTTTTTTTTTTTTTTTTTTTGTTGTTTTTTTTTTTTTTTTTTTTTTTTTTTAAGAGATGGGGTCTCACATTCTTGCCTAGGTTGGCCTTGAACTCCTAGGTTCAAGCAAACTCCTGCCTCAGCCTCTCCAGTAGCTGAGCCTGAAGGAGCATAACACTGCGCCTTGCTACAGTTTGGTCTTTGCAAATTGCCATCTGCAGTTATCAAATGGCCAAGTGAGAGAGTAATCCTAGAATATTAAGTGGTTTCTTACATGCCAGAACTGCTGAGATTTATGAGCTTGATATAAATGAGATGTCTACCTTTCTTTATCTTACCTCTAGGAGGCCATCCTCTGGCAGATCTGTACAGTGAACAGCATTCTGGATCTTAGTTTTACCGAAGGTTGCTCTGAGGGTCCCAGGACGTAAATGCCGGGCAATTTCCTATGAAACACACATCCACAAAGCATTAGTATAGGGTGTCAGTAAGGAAAAGATGAGCTATTTGAAACACTTGAATTGTTTTATTTCTAAAATATATGTTATACATTGAAGGTTCTGATTTTTCCTGAAAACAACATGATTGTACAGTGGACCCTTCACTTACAAACTCAGTTTGTTCTCAAGAGCTGGTTATAACTCAAGTTGATCAATTGCCTTCAAAGTCTCCCTCCTGCATAATTTTAGGCCACACTTTCTTCCAGGTCTTTAGGGACATTGCCCCAAGATTTCTCAATTAATCCCACACAGGCAAGGGTGTTGTAATGTTCCTTCCAGAACTCTTTCAGGGTTTAATCTGTATCTGAGACCATCTGGAAGCACAAGTGGCCAGCATTTGGGTCATAACTCAATACTTTGGCTGTAAGTTAAAACTAAAATTCCAGTTGTAACCCATGTTGTTTGTACGTCAAGCCAGTTGTAACTTGAGAGTCCACTGTCTGGAAATTTTCAGCACTAAAATATTGTTTTCTTCTTATGAAGCTTCTTTTGTGGCCCAGTGTAACCTATGTCAGTCCATTGTAATCTACTGTAATCGATGCCAAAAGACAAACACATTTTAATCAATAGATTATTGGAAACACAAAAAATATCAACCTAGTTAATTACTCTAAAAGACTTGTATTTATAAAGATAGTAATAATCTTACCAGCTTGATTTAAAAGGAAACAGTTTGATGGTACTGAATTTTTAAGTTTTTTTTTTTAAGTGTTACAGTTGTATCTGCTTATTACCAGCTCACCTTGGAGGGAGGAATGGTCACAAACACCGCTGAATTTCATGAAAATTGGAAGTTTTACCAAAATAATACAATAAAACAAGAGAGGAAACCGTATGACAACAATGGACTATAAAAACTTAAAGTGAGTAGGAAAGGAAGAGAGGATGTAGGATGTGGAGTGAGGAAAAGAGACTGAAAAGGTGGATGGAGGGATTCGAGCTGGGCCAAGTGGATGGGATAACTGTTAAGATAAATGTGTTAAAGAGAAATTATGCAGAAAATTAAGAGACAGGATACCTGAGATTAGCAGGTGTGGAGAAAGGAGGCTACAATGATGGATAATGACTAGTCAGTGGTGGAACAATGGGTGAGGTCAGGTTGAGGACAAGAACGCAGGAAGAAAAGGAGCAAAACAGACAGAGAGACCAAGATACCAAATGAATCACTCCCATGAACCTGAAACTCATAAACCATGACAAGGAGGAGGCTTATGGTACAAGGATGTGAACAGCATTCACATTTGTGATTCCATCCTTAAGGATGTTTTAGAAGTGCCCAAGCTGGGGATTTGGCTCAGTGGTTCCACTGCCGGCCTTGCAAGCGCAAGGGCCCAAGTTAGATCCCTGGTACCAAAAACACACAAACAAAAAAGTGTTCATGCGTTTACTTATAGCCATGTGATGCATCGTGACAATTTGGGTCAGTGATGGGCCACATAAATGAATGTGGTCCCGGAAGATACAATGGAGTTGAAAATTTCCTATCATGTAGTGACATCATAGCTATCATAATGTCACATAATGTACTACGGCTATGTTTGTGGTGATGTGATGTGACAAAAATCTATTCCGCTCCCAATCACACAAAAGCGCATCACATGTAATTATGTACAATGGATATGATACTCGACAACAATAAAGGGGTAGGACATTGGCTTATTATCTATTATTCTTATTTTTATATGAGAGTATTCCTTTTACTTATTAAAAAAAGGTTTACTTTAAAGCAATAGCCCATGTTACTGGCAGCAGTCTCATACATCTTGTGCTTAGGATTTCATTTTGGATTCTTTTTATAAAGGTACTGATATACTGATTTCAGTTTTGATTACCAGAAAATATCATATAGGCGTTTACATGTAAAAATACTGAAATATTAACAAATACAAGTGAATGGGAAATACCAAAAATGAAGTGATCCTGCATAGATCATTTTCCTTCTTCATTTATGAATAGATTTTTCCTTACATTTTTTTTTTTTTTTTTTTTTTTGGTACTGGGGAGCTAACTCAGGACCCTGTGCTTGGTGAGGCAGGTGGCAGAACACTGAGCTAAAACCCTGGGCCTCCCTACTTATTTCTGACAAGTTCATGCACCTTTTGCTCTATGGTGAAAACCATACTAGCATGGCCACTCCCTCTTCCCTTAAAGGAGCAGTCAGCAGATACACAAAGGCAACACAAAGGACTGTACCGACATACAGTTTCATTTAATACCATAAGTACTTCCTGGAAAGTTACTGCACTATTCACAAATGATAGCTTACGCTAAGAAAATTAGCTTCTTGGGAGAGCAATACTTATTTGCATCTACTATAGAGTCAACAGCCTTTCAAGCTCCACCAAATTCCTAGCATAACCATTCCTCTCTACAACCTTGACTGCCCCCTTCCATCAAGCACTTGGTTATTTTGTAGCCCATTGTAAGTACTAAACATTCTGCTCAAGAAATCCTGCAGAGGGATGAAGACTGCTGGCTTAAAGAATGATCTCTAAGTCTAAGATAGAAAAATATGCCAAGTAGAATGGTGATTAGCAAAATACTGAGAATGAAGAAAGTATTTAGTTATTCTATGGCTTTGCATTTTAAAGAATGTCAGTGTTTATTGAATAATAAGTCTGGCTGATAAAATATGTCTTGACAAAAACTAATTGCTTCCATAATAAGCTATTCTATTAGTTCTCCACAATATAAGAAAGATGGTATTGAATTTTGTATGTAAGAATCAAAATGACTTTCCATATAACAAACTGAAGGAGATTTGAGACATTTACTAATTATAGAACTTTGAAGAAAGAGAATTTTATGATCAGCCACAGAATACATTTGTATTAGGAGCATGGAGTGATTAATCCTTAAATTACTAGTATGATTTCAGGAAAATTTTAAGTACAAGAGAAAAAGTCTTTCCTAAGTTATAGGAAATCATGTGAGCAGTATTATCAATAAGTGAATAAATATTGGAAAAGGATCAAGAATAGCTTCAGGCCTAGCAATTTCAAAATAGGCTTGAAACAAAATTTTAAAATGTGTTAGAATCATTGCCCTCATGGTCAACAAGGGTAATAAGACTATAGCAAAGCCAATAATGAAGCTACGATAATTAAAACAGCAAACACTGATGTTTCCATCGTTACTGGTACTCTTCAGTAAGAAGTCTTGCAGTGTTAAACAGTGCACATGGGCTAAGCCCTCTGCTTGGCTCCTCTGGCTCTTCAGTGGCACGGAAGCAGACCCTCCAACAGCCTTTTCCATTTGCGTGCAGCCCTATACGGCTGCAGTTATACCTGTGTATTCCTTGGAGACCAACAACATCAGATGAAGTCACAACTAATATATAAAACAATGAAACACGAGAAGAAACTGGAAGTAGGAAAGGAAACCAGACAAGAGATCCAAAGGTTTAAAAACCCTTTTAGAGCCTATGCATAAGATCTAGAGAGAGTGACTGCAAAGTTAAATTCAACTCATTACTTGCTATTATCAAATGTGTCATCTGAGATCATGGTGAATGCAATTATCTGTACTAGAGGCTATATCAATAGCTTATATATGAAGGATCATTAAATATCTGCTTCCTGAACTGACAGGCTCCATATTTTACTTTTCACTGGGTAAACATCAGGTATAGTGTAAGTTTATAATGTGAACACAGTCACAGTTAAATTTTTTGTGTAAAACATTAGACAATTCAATCCTGTACTTCCCATTAGATTTCAATAAACCACATGATAACGACAACCATTGCTTCTTATGGGGCTGTTGACTATTCCAATCAACCACAGGCATGGGCTAAAATGAAAATGAAGTCTTATGTGAGATAGGTATGATTTTAGAATGTAAAATTGTGATCTCCTGGTTCTCCTCTCAGTCAAAGAACTGAGAAAATCTGAGATCCTACTCCTATAATCCCAGCTACATGGAAGGCATGCCTGTTTTACAAGTGTGAAGGTAACCTGGGCAACTTTTTTATTTTCTCAAAATAAAAAAGGTATTGATGTAGCTCAGTGCTTCCCACACTCAATTTGCAGTACAGAAGGGGGAAAGGGGTAAGGCAAATCTCCTTAGTCACTTTTGTATAAATTATATTTAAGCAAAAACTATAAAACTCATTTACATAAGCAAACTCAGAATATAAACATTAGTATAGAGGAAAGTAACACTGCTTTTTTGGTAAACATTTTCCTATTTTTTTTTCTATTTAAAAAATGCCACATTATGGGGCCAAGGATTTAGCTCAGTGGTTCTGCCACCTGCCTCACAAATGCAAGGTCCCGAGTTCGATCCCTGGTACCTAAATAAATAAATAAATAAATAAATAAAAATTAAAAATACCACATTATGAAAGACCTAAACATCCAGTGGGAAGGCCGGCTCATAAAAACATTACAGCGTGTCTGTGATTTCTGCCTTTCTCTAAAGTCAAGCTGGTGATGAAAGGGGACGCTTTGAATTGATTTAGGTACCAGAGGCGGCCTGACAGTGCAACTAAAGACACTCACAAAAGCAGACTTCCAGAACTGCTTTAGAAAGTTGCAAGCAGGAGGGGAGAAGTCTATTTGAAACAAGGAGTATTCTGAAAAAGATTCATGGCAATATGTCTTTTACTGCAATAATTTTTTTCAATTTGAACATTTACCATATTTGAGGATTGCACATTGTATCTGGATTCCTACCATAGATTCCACCATTCCTAGTAAACATAATATCCACAAAGCAGTTAGAATGATCTTTACAAAACATCATCTCCCTGCCTAAGACACACTAATGCCTGCCTAAAAATCCCAACTTCTCAACATGCCCTACAGTCCAGAGTGGTCTAGCTCTGCTTACCTCTTTGCTCTCCCCTGAAGCAATCTGGTCCTATCAGCCTCTTTCACAAGCACCACATTTTTTTCTTTCTTTCTTTCTTTCCTTCTCTTTCTTTTTTTCCTTCTTTCTTTCTCTTTTTCTCCCCTCTTGCTCCCTCTTTCTCCTTCCTTCTCTCTCTCTCCCTCTCCCTCTCCCTCTCTCTCCCTCTCCCTCTCTCTCTCTCCCTCCCTCCCTCCCTCTCTCCTTCCAAGACAGAGACTCACTATGTAGTCGTTCAGGCTGGCCTTGAACTCACTATGTACACTATGTAGTTAGTGCCCAGGTTATCCACCTGGCTCTTACCTTCATCTGGATATTGAAACTGCTCCCTCCAAAGTTATCTGTAACCAATTAGTCCTCTAGTCAAAAACTGTCATATACCAGGAATGTCATAAAGTACTGTCAGAAATAGCAGTGGTCTGACAAAGTGATCCGAGAATGGGTCAATTTAATTTACAAATCAGGATAATTTTATAAAATGTAAGTTTATTTTTCCCCTGGTAGCAACATATATATCAGCAGTTGGTGGAAAGATCTTGGTCTTAAAGGCATAGATTCAGTGTATGAGGCCAAATTAAAAAAAGTAGCAAAATCTATCGCGGCCACTGCAGACACTGGAATACTGTTGGAAGTATCAACAGTGGAAAAAAATCACTGCCTTCCCAATACGAGGCTCTTACAATCGGTGCTCTGCAAGGTTGTTAAGACAGCTTTGCTTTTTACAGGTATGGCCAACCCGACTGTAGTCAGCACTGAAGACAGAGAATATGCGAAGATCCAACTGACTGAGGTAAGCTCACTTCAAATGCTTAATTTCCTAAACTTCTCGACATGCTCTGCAATTCTCTTTAAAGCTGCAGGGGGCAGCTAAGATTCTAGACTAAGGACAACATTCCCGAAACCATCTAATCTCCACAGTTACTGATGGCAGTGCAGTCCAACAGAAATACAATGTGAGCTGCATACGCCATTTTAAATGGTCTAGTGGCCACATTAAAAATAAAAGGTGAAATTAATTTTAGTAATATATCTTAATACTATATATCCAAAATATTATCATTTCAGTAGGCAAATAATATAAAAATTAATGAGTTATTTCAAATCTCTATTTCATACTAAGTCATGTTCAATTTTGGACAGACCATATAAGTTACCAACAAGCAATGAACCTGAGTCCCTTTAAAAAAGAGAAGGAAAGGCTTTCTGGGCTTTACAGGAAGTATACTGCCCCCCTGCCCCCCGTCTGTTGGGTGTATGTTCTAAGACCCCTACAGGATTCCTGAAGCATTGGATGATAGCACACATTACATAAACTATTCTTCTTTATTCATACAGACCTGTGATAATTACGCAGGAAAGTATTAGTAAAACAATTAATAATAAATTACAACAACTGCAATAGAGTACTGTAATAAAAGTTGTTTAAAACATACAAATTATTTCTGAAATTTTCCCTGTAGGTTTTTGGACCATGGTTGACCATGCTCACTGAAACCATTGAAAGTCAAACTACTGGTAAGGAAAGAATACTTATGTGTAACTCTTGACCGTAAGATGCAGTGCTCACAGATCTGAAAATTTATTGGGAAAACTGCATCTGTCTCTCAAAGCCAAAAGTTCTGAACAAAAGCAAGAGGAATAATAAAAAGACTGAATACTCACTGAAATTATTCTGAAGGGCATTTTTGTTTGTTTTGTTTTTTTGCTTAAGTCTTAAGTCTAGTAAACCCAGAAATAGGAGATATATAATACGTATATCTAATCTGGTATGTATTAAAAGGATAAGGTAAAATCCATTCTTACTCATCTGATTGAGAAATCAATGGAGTAAAAGATGACACCCAACACCTTATAGGTTTTCTAAAAACTGACTTTAAATCCCTATTTGCTTCTTAGTGTTGTTTGAATATTGCAGAAAAATAAGCATGCAACAAAACTTAAATTTTTCATTATTTTCTTGAAACAGCACCACCAACAGACCTGTCAAAAGTCTACCAGAGATTTGTCTGCAGACCCAGCACCTCACAGCACTGGGACCTCTGCCATCAATGCACAATTCCAGGCTCCTGGTCCCCAGTCATTTCCAATGTACACAAATGGTTGAGAAATAATGTGTCAGAGTATTTTCTGGTGTTGGACATGCCAAAAAGGAGCAACACCAGTGTTCTAGTTAGCTTTGTGGACCAGGAGATGAGGAGCATGACTGAAAGTAACACTACAAAGGTACAAGATTCCAGTAATGAATGTAACTGTACTGTTTGCCTAGAATGTACCAAAAAATTAAATTTTAAAAAATTTTTTAAAAATAAAAGTAATACTACAAGGAAGAAACATTAATCGCAAGGTGGGCAGTATGGAGAGTTAATGGCAGAGGAATTTGAAGGAAAGCAAGTCACATGTTAGAGACAATTGATAGTATCTTAAAGATAGTGCTAGGAAAATAATTTAAAGAGGAGTAAAATCTATTCAACTTCTCTGCATAAGTTTCCACTCTAACAGTCTGGTAAATATGACATACCTAGAGCTCTGGATAGGGTCACTGTGCCAAGAAAAACAATCTGGTCTGAACAACTTAGTTAAGATTACTTGAAAATAGCACACCGACCAGGTACCGATGCTGCTGAACAAACTTGAGAGACCACACTGGTTTATTCTGAAATGCAAACCTTCTCCAAAGGAGGGCAGGTTCTCCCCCTCAAAATATGTATTTCTCTTTTTAAATTAAATGTGTTAAATTTAGGTTTTATTTAAACTTTAGGAAAACTTTTTAAAGTAATTCTTCAAGTGTTCTTTTGGCAAGTACAGATTTCTTTTATAATCTGAATAGTTAATTCCTAAACTGCATGTACTGAGTTAATACTTTCACATATTTCAATTCAGTGCTTTAAAAAGATCATGCTTATACTTATAGAAATGATTGTTTTGTTATTAGTGCTCTGTTATCTAATGTAATTAAACAAAAATCAACAAAGATGAAAAAGTCTGCAATGGTCACATTCAAGGGCCCTAAAATTCCCTCTGTTTGGCTTTGTAAGTGGTAGGATTGTTGCACTGAGATTAAGTAGAATGTCTTACTAACAATATCCTAAGAACACCATAGCTCAGTACTATTCGTGCCACCCGTAACTGATCCTGGACTCAAACCTACCACTCGTGTTACCAGCTTTTACCTGTTGATAGATTTGTAAAATGACAGGCTCTGTCATGTCCCCAAATGGTAATTTCTCTTAAAGGTTTAAAAATATTTTTCTTCATCTTAACACAAAACCCGCTGTCTTAAGCGACGCGGCTGGGGGCTGACATCTGAAGCTGACATGCAGCACGGTTGCATAAGGAAGATAAGGCCCAGTGCATGTTACCACAGCTGCCTGGGATTGGAGGTGCAGGCAGCTCCAGCTGGAGCTAAGCCGCAATCTAGTGTGCAGGGCTCTAGGAAACCTGAGCTGTCCCTCCTGTGACGGGGACATGTGGGGTTGGAATATGACTATTTTAAAGATATTGAGAACAGTGGATCCTCTCTATGACTAAAAAGAAAAAAATATGAAGCTAAGAGATCTTAAAGGAAACTATCACTTAATAAAAACAGCTAATGCAGCTAAATCAAGGCAAAATAAACACTGGGAAGGAATTGTTTTCAAATAAAAAGGAAGGGAAAAGGACTGAATGGAGAAATTTTTGTGAGACTCATTTAAAAAATATACTAAAAATAGTGAGGCAAAGGAGGCTGGTATAAGAAATGAGGAAATGAAAACCAGTAAAATGCCAATATTAAAAAAAACCCACAGAGATAAGGGGAATGAAAGGATGCACTATGTAGAAAATAGTCATCCAAATTTCTCAGTCCCTGCACAGGCAAGGGATAAGATGGTGGGGCTGGAAGCAGCCACGACAGAAGATGCCAAGGCAGAAGAGCGGACAGAACCAAAACAGAATTTGAAAGTCAGGACAGTAAGTCAGAGAAAGAATCAGCTCCCAGTGGGCACCCAGGCCAGTGTCCTCAAAGAGTTACAACTCCCTAGGTGACAGTTTCATAAGGAGTCATTAAAATGAACTGGAATGTTGTAAAAGTAACCTGAAAGGGGTACCATCCTCATGGACAAAATGGCTGTTGGTGTTACTATCACAGAGAGAAGCCACCCTGAAGCAACAAGAAACGAATCTAGAAGAATTGTGTTCTCAAGTACTTCGAGGGCTTTTGAAATATATTTCTTGTATTATATGCAGTTAATATTTGAAGAAAAAAAACTATATCCTTGGGATTTTAAATCAGAAATGACTGAAGATGAAACCATGCAGAACACAGTCCAAATCTTGGCTTAACTTTTAAATGAAAATATGCCCTTTGGGAAAAATAAAAAAAATAAATTTTAAAAATGTTTTTTTTTTCAAATAAGCTTGTTTTATCCTCATCTATAAGACGGTTACCAAAAGCCTACCTTGAAAGACAGCAATGAGTACAAAGCTTCTGGGTCAGTGACTGGTCATAGCAGTCGAAACAAATAGTTCATGAGAGGTAAACTTAAGCAATATAAAGAGGCAATGTAACTCAGATCAGTACCTGAATATTCATTCTTTTAAAAAATATATATATATTGAAACTACTTCTGAATGTCAGTGAAAGAAATGAAAATCCATGTCTTAGGATTTACATGCTAGCAGAATGAAACAAAAACTAAATGGGTTCATAAGTAAATGGTGTAGAATGTTTAGAAGCTGATACATTAAAGGAAAAAAGTAAATCAAAATAGGGCAGGGCAAGCACTTGAGAATATCTGAATATTGTGGCTATAAATGGGAGACAAGAGGAAAGATAGATCTCTGAGAAGAAGACATCTAAGCAGGAATACTCCAAAGCACGGGGTAACCATCAATCTGGATTTTGGCAGATACATCATGAATGTTATAAGGATGGTGTCTTCTTGTTATCTGCAGGGTGAAAAAAGCTAAATTTTCTGTAAGAATCTTACGTGAAAATGTTCTCAGAACTATAATTCATTTACATGTGATTCTTCACTTCTCCTTTGCCTGTCAGAGGACTGTCTATTTAAAGCAAAACCACTGCTCTGATCTTGTAGAAACAAGTGCACTGTTCAGTCTCCAGACAGTCTTCCTTCTCCCCATCTTCCATATTACTTCTGCACTGTCCACAGTACTGACTTTACTTATTTGTTTTTCGTCTGTACACCATTAAAACAAAACATCTATGACAGTGAGATTTTCATCTGTCTCCGTATCACCACTGTTAAATCCCAAGGCCTAAAAATGCCTTGACACATACAAAGTGTTTGGCATGTAGCTGAATAAATGAAGGCAATATAATTAAGAATTCTTTTTAGAAAAGAACCACAGTTTGGAAAATCATTAGGTGTGTTAATTAATTCTGATATGTCGATTTAATTGGATTAAGAAACACCTAACAGATTACTAGAGCAAGCTCGTGGGTGTACCTCAGTGCATTGTGGAAACACGGCCTAGAGTACTATAACTGTCCTCCTTAGTTCCTCTCTCGCACTGTTCTTCTGCTCTGCTGTTCCATGCTGCCACGAATGAGGCATCTTCTGCCATGGATGAAGCATCTTCCATCATGATATTTCTGCTATAGACCTAGCTGACCACGGACCAAACTCCCTGAACTCTGAGCCAAATTAAACCTTTCCTTCTTTAAATTATGCGTATTAGGTATTGTGTCCTGGTGATGGGAAATCTGAGTAACACATTAGGATGTTTCTGTAATTAATAAAGCCTTG